ATTAAAGATGAGATGTCTTTTCTCCATTTTTACTTATCACTGAATTACTGGATAGGTTGCCTCTCTTCATTATATTAAGAAGAAAAACTCCCATGAAATCCTTATGAGTGGAAATACAATAATCTAACAATAAAAAAAGTGTTAGTAAGACTGTACTACTGATCCATTCTGATCAGGATGGTGATAGTGATCAGAAATTGCTAAGTTAGATTATAGAGAAGTTGCAGATGTATGGCAAGTATCAACAGTAGTACATTTCAACTTTCCATATATAGGGTCAATGTCTCATCAAGCAGAGAGGTAGAGATAAAATTTTTGGATGCTTCCCAGAACAGCCAGTTTTAGAACCTACAAGAAATGATGCCAGTCAAGATTTGGTTTTGGGTATTTTATAGGACCTAGTTCAGGTTTTGGGTTCAGATGGAATGGATGTGGAGCGGAGAGTTTTAGAGGAAACCTCTCAGTGTTAACAACCTATTTATGCCTTTAGCACTGTTTAGCACTGTTGCCAGAGAGAGTTGACCAGATAAATACAAAATAAATAAATGTTCAATTTCGAGAAAAGGAGCTAGAGGAAAAGAAAGCCTAATTGTCAAAAAAAGATTTAAAATAATATACAGGAGCAATCCAAAAAGCAAGAAAGTGACAACTAGCCTGGAGGCTTTTTCTCTTTTTAATTGTATAAAAAGTCAAATATGTGACACCACTCAGCAAAATAATGGAGTGGGGGAAGGAGAAATTTTAAAAATAAATAAATAAATAAAGTGATTTCACCGAAAAAAAATAAGGTGGCAATCTTAGTAGAAGATTAACCTTTCAGAAATATGAAACTTGCCCAAATGAGGAAAGAAGAAAGCACATAATCTTGGTAGGTCCCTTTCCTTAAACAAACAAAAATGGAGCTAAAAATAAAAAAGAATTTGAGGAGTACTCTGCTAAGGATTCTCAAGCTGATAGCAGAGATTCAAAACCAGGAGGTCAATTGTGTATCAAACAACAGATTTTTTTACACCAAAACATTAGCTAGGGAATCAGTGGGGCCTATTAAAGACCAAAACATAAGAGATCCTCAGAGATAACAAAGCCTTAGACTCAGTTCTTGGTGTTGGACACACAGCTGAAAACATTTGGGGGAATTAACACATTCTCTGCAGTCTGTAGCAGCAAATCAGAAGAGCTAGGTCAATGTAATATAAATATTTAGGAACTATTAGATAGACACAGGCAATTTAGACATCAGTCTCAAGGACCAGATGACATTCGACTGAGAATATGAAAAACAAACAAACAAAAAAAACTTGGATGTGAAGTGGCAGAACTGCTAGGCAAGGCATGCATTCTAACACCATAATGGTCGCTATGCCCAAGGAATGGTAGACTGAAGTCACGTCGGCAGTCCACAAACAGATCTCTGAATGGGATCTCGGAAAAGATAAATGGCAAATTTTGATTTTAATCATAGTAGAAACGATAGAGTCCACAACAAAGAATAAGATACTGAGTATAGGGAAAAACAAAATTAAAGAGAAAAAACAAACAAGACAATCTGCTGTGGACAAAGAAGATCCAGGAAACATAATAGATTTGGACTTTTTTAAAGCCTTTGACAATATTCTACATCAAAGCATAGCCAAAAAATGGAATTGGAGGAAAAGATCTTAAATAGATGAACAGCTGTATAGGGAGTTGAAAGCCAATAGGGTATAGTGATCACCTTTTGGAGTGGAGAAGTCAGGTCCCTCAGGACTCATGCTGAGAACAGTTTTGGTCAGTACTATAATTAATGACCTGAAGAAGGCGGTGAACAATAACATCTCCAAGCTGTGGACAATGCTAAGTTCTTTGAGTAGCCAAATGCTATGCCAAGGGAGAACTCCAAAAGGATTCCTGAAAGTGGGAGAATGGGCAAATTAGTGGTAGAAAAGTTTTAAATGTAAAAGGGAGAAGTAATCTGAACCTTGCTTGCACAAATCAGAAGAAAGGTCTTAGAGTCATCCTTGACAATTCTCTGAAAATATTGGCTCACTGCAAGCAATATTCAAAAAAAAAGCTAATGATGTGTCGTCGTTTCATCATCAGGAAGGGTACTGACAACAAGGTGGAGGTGTCATTTTGGTGCTCTATAAGGCTGTAGTGTCCCTCTATTTAGAGTACTGGGTAAAACTGTAGTGTCTGCATCTCAAGAAGGAAGTAGTGAATTGGAGATGATACAAGGAAGAGGAATTAATGCTACAGGGGATGGAACAGCTAGCTGCCTTAAAGACCTACAAGTCTGGGATACTTCACTTTGTAGAAGGCAGAGATGTAGATAAAATCAAGGTTTGCAAAATCACAAAAGCAGTGGAAAAATTGAGTGTGGAATTGTTCACCAAAGCCTGCAGTACAAGATCTGATTGGTATTTGAAACTAGTAAACAAGCAGTCTGAAGTGAGTAAAAGTAACCAGGGTAACTAGGTTCGAATTTCTAGAGCTTGTTGCTGTAGGAGAATGTGGAGTGGAGAATTACCAGCGATTAAGAAAGTTTGTCCAAGAAAATGGCTTGTCTTCTTTGGATCCATTGCAAGTGCTTAGAGATTTGACAAGGCCTTTATTTTGTAGTAATTTTTTATGACTTTCTTCAGTTTATCTTGATACAAAGTTATCCAGCCAAAATGAGGGAGTACTGGGGCTTAATGAGTCACCACTTTTCAGATGATGCATGATGATGGACCAAGTGCACCACCAATTACTTGCCCCTCTTGCCAAGAAATACACAGTAGTTTAAACGACGAGTTAGTCTGACAAATGATTTGTCATTTAAGCTAGTACCTTTTGCTACGCAGACTGGCATACAGTCAGTTACCGCAATTCTGGTGATAAATATTAGGCTTCATTCCAGACTTGTCATACAGCTTCAGTACCCAACTTGTTTTCAAAAGAAGTTCACACCCTTTTGTGTACTCTTACTTTTTTCTTCCTTTATATGTGTGGAGTTTTTTTTGTTGTTGTCGTTTTTTCTTCACAGTATTCAGCAATCTTCTTGCCTTGGTTAGGAGAGATTCTGTGTTTAAGGATTAAAAGCAAGTGTAAGTTGTTTAGGAAACTGCAAATGAGAATTAACAAATGTTGTTTAGATCACTTAGTGTTTTGGTAACTGATGTAATGTCAAAGCAATGAAACACACATGCAGCCTGCAGCCTTGACTGTGAAAGCAGTGTCCAACCGAGCCAGATCAATGACTGCATAGCTTTTAAAAGGAGTCCTTGTCAACACAAGTGCAACAGAGCACTGTCTCCTCTCTATCCATGACTAGAAGAAAGGAATGAGAAAATACTTTGAACCAGATGGTTTTTCCTCCTAAAGAGATAGAGGTCTGAGCTGAATTGATTTTGATTTAGCTCAGTTGACTGTGTATCTCGAAGAAGATGCATTTGGTGCATCTTGGTGCACTTTGCCTTCCACACAGAAGGCTGCAAGTTAAATAAGTGTGAGGAAATAGAAAAAAAAATCTTGGAATATTTCATATTGGGCTGGTTTTTTTGAGGTTTAAAATGTGACAATAAAGGAGTTGTCATTAACAAGGCTAGTAATTCTTGCTTGTTGTTAACAAGCACTTTTTACTGCCTTAATTTGGGTTGTTAAATCATACTGCAGGCATGATTTAGACATCTTTGAGACAACATGCTCTTCAATATCCAAATGCCAGTACTGAAAGGAGTGAATGAAACATGTAAGCAAAGGAGCAGAGCACGTATCACCTTATTCTTTTGATGATCGTGTTATATATAGCTAACTAGCACCAGATGAGAACTGCTGCAAAGAAATTAGTATACATCAGCACTCCCTGGTAAAACACAATGTTTGCCTGTCTTGCTATTCCTAAAACAAATACCAGAAATACAAAATCTGCAGGATATGTGTCAAAAAACAAACCTGTCATGGTATTGGTTGTATAGCATATTTCCGCTATATTTTAGCATGTATCTCTACGTGCATCAAATGTTCCCAACAAGCATTGTGGTGGGGAGACTAAATAAATGGTAAAGCAAATAAATTTTAAATAAATTTTAAATTTTATTTTAAAATCATTGTCTAATGTGTTTTCAAAACAGTTAATATTCCATCATCCCTTCATTTTCCACATATTGTTAAATGAAGAGTTTGTTTTAGGAGCTCAGATAGGATCTCCTGACTGTCTGCCTTTTAAACGCACCCTTGCAGCAAAGCGTATGTGGAGGCCTGATCCTTTGCATTCATCTGAAGATCTGTATTCATCTTATAGTATTGCAGAACTGAGGGATAAATTAATCCACAGTTCAGGCTACGCAATAAAATTCAACATATCAAAAACTCCCGATGTTATCTGGGGTCAGCAAACTAACAGCTCCTGTCCCGCTTGTGGCTGACATCAGCAGGAGCCTTGTTGGGCAACCTTGGTCCTCCTGTTCTTTGACCATGACAGAAGCTCTGCAGCTGCATGCACTACAACATGACATAGCTTAGGTGAGGACTGGGACCCAAACCTGAACTGAAATGAGACTTCTGGGCCCATAGGAAGTGTGTGGGTGATGGACCAGGTGAGGCAGCTCAGAATCCAGGACACAGAAGAACCAAAGCCAGGTGACTTTGGGGATTTGCAGCAAATTATCATTAGAACCAAGAAAGGCAAAGTGAGTCTGTAACTACTGATACATTATCTCAATGAGTAGGGATGTTGCAACATGCTAGCCAACAGTTAGTTAGGTTTCACACAAGTTCACTTTCATGCTCCTACCGAAGCCTTTACTTTCTCTTTTGGATTTGGATTAGATAGGAGAACATTGTCCAGCTGTCCTAGCTCACGCATTCTATGCAGTGTCCAAAACTTTTTATTAACTTTTTTTTGGTGTGGCCCTCACTTAAAAAAAAAAAAGGAAAATAAATGGCTTTCTGATCTCTGCCACTACTTATCTCTACTGATTTTGAGAAAACCTGCATATACCTGCATATGATTAAAATACGTTCTGATTTTTTACCTGCAGGTCCCTGAGCATGCAGAACTTGCCTGGATTCTTGGGTGCATTACTAATGTGCCACGTTTACTACGCTTACCGCAGTGGAAGGTAAGTTCAGTTTAATAAATTGGAGGGGAATTCAGTAGGGGAAAAAAGTAGGAGAGCTGTTCTCCTGGAAAGACCTCATTATCTGTGAAGTACCAACTGTATCTTGGTTATCTTTACAAATATGGTTAAGTTTTTCTTTAGGCCTATTGCAGAGGGAGGATTTTTTTTTTTCAGGTCTATGGCTGTCAGTACGTTTGTTCCTTTGGGATACTACAGGATAGTATTTGTCAGAGACTTTAAGAAAAAATACTAAACAGGCATCCATGTCTTTCAGTTTGATTAAAACAAGTTTGATAAAATGCTTGAAGTTGTTAACAAGGTTTATTTAAAAGTAAAATTAAAAACAACTAACCATTTTAGTGGGAAAAATGAGCTTTTTTGATGAAGGAGTTCAATAAAGAACTTTTTTGGGGGAAAGCTGGTGCAATAGAAGCAACAACAACATATATAACATGTATAACAACATGTATAACAACAACAAAAAGAATACACAAATGATAAATATTAAAAATATGCTGAGTCATTGAGTTAATGCACCTTAGAATGTTTTTCTTTTAAGTTTCAAATAGTTAACTTATTTGTCTTGGTCCTGCGTCAGCATTACTGCACCAACTGCATTCTTGCACTTAATTTCCTTGGATTTTATTTTAGTGTTTAGTAAACAGAAAAATGAGGGAGAGAGAAATATCAAGAAAGGGCAAAGAATCTTAAGAGCAGTTTGGCTTGCAGAGTTCAGAGCAGTCTTAAATATCTCCATATGTTTTCTTTTTTTTTGCTGTTTTTCTTCTTAATTAAATAAAAACAGTAAAACTTAAGTCCAGCAACCCGTGTTAATGCATGGCATAGATTAAAGCCAACCTTTTCAAACCTGAGGTTCTAAAGTTAAGCTCTTAAATCCAGCTTTGTCTGGATTGACTTTCCAAATCTACGGATAGGTGTTACAGGTGCTAGGGTTTCCAAATTAGGTCCCTTGAGCTTAGGCATTCAGAGATGTAGAGAGAAGAGAGAATCTGTATGAAAGGTAGAGGAAAATCTAAAGAATTTGAATAGTGTGAGCAGTGTGAACTGGTAAAGAGAAGGCTGGATTCTGCCTCTGTGAACATTGATGTTTCTCCTAGCTAGCACAGACCTCTTGGTGACTGTAGGTAATCATTTTCCCCCAAATTTATTCCTCAATTATCTGTGAAACACAGGTATTCATTAATGCCTTTTATATCTCTCCTCTAAAGTGTTTCAAAACTTACTGCTGAAGATGATTTTTGGAGGTAGGGTTTTCATTAATAAGGGCAATAACCCAGCTATACTGCTTTGTATTTTTAATCACTTGAAGGAGTAAGATTATAAATAGAAAGGAAATACAAGCCTGTATTTTTTTCCCCAATAAAATATCGGAACAGTAAAAGGGAATTCATAAATATAGGGCATAAAATGGGACTTATATAATAGCAAGGAGCACATTTTACATGGCTTCCTTTTCTCTAGAGTTACACAACAAATGGAGTAGCTGAAACCTGCAGCACACAGTTAAGTGGAGTTCTAATAGTTAAAATCAGTGTCAGACTTTGACATCATTAGCTAAAAGGGTAATTTCTCTCTGTTCTTCTTTTGCAAACAGATGAAGTGTGCCAGCCAGAATAATGAAGGAACCGTTGGTTTGTTGACCTACCCTGTGCTTCAAGCAGCAGATATTTTGCTGTACAAGTAAGAGTATGTGAGCCCACAGGCCATGTCTGTTCAGCTACTTTAAACTGAACTTTCATCAGATCAACATGTTAAAATTTTAAGTGGGGGAGCTGAGTGTGATTAGCTTCAAGATCATCAAGTCCAACCGTAAACCCATTGCCAGCATACTGCTAAGTCTGTTATTGCTACTCTGCACCTTGTGGTATCTGGGCTAGCTCAAGTTCCTCTGGGGCACACTGCATAATATAATGAAAATACCCTAAAGAGGGACTGGTTCCATGTCCAAGTTCCTAACCTAGCTGCTAGAGTTTGTAATGCATTGTCATGCAGTACAGTTGTATTTCATAGTATGATTTAAATTGTCTCTGTAACTGAATATCAGAGACAATGCACGGTGTATTAATTATTTCTATGTTCTATGTATACGTACTTTACAGAACTGTTCTGAAGTACATGACGTTGTGAATATTTTGGGGGGCAGAGAAGTAACAGAGAACTTTTTTGGAGGGAGGACAGAGTATCCAAGATTAGCAAATTGTTAACTACAGAAAAAATAGTTCTAGAGAAATTTAATCCTAAGTGATTATTAGTAGGGGAAAGTAGTAATGTCAGAGGACTGATAGATAATATTTCTAATTCATTTGTATTTTACCCAAAAAAAAAAAATAAAAGGAAGCAAGTGAAAAGGAAAAATTGTTTTCAACAAAATAGGGAGTCCCATTTGATTGTCAAGTAGTAATTTGGAGTGAAACCTAGACTTCATCAGAAATCACCGTGCTCTGGTTGAGCTGGAACATGTATGTCTCTTGCATCTCTAATAACATCCTGTGATTCATCACTTCATGGAGAAGCCTGTATTTTGTTTGCCACTAAGTTTATTTTCATTAGACTGTCCAGATAGAGAACAAAACAAGAAGGTGAAAGAGAAAAAATATTTCTTAGAGGAAATTTGGCATTATATATTTAATGAAAAATGTTTTAATGTAAAGGTATAAGATAGGAAATGAGAGTTGAGGAGAAATGGCAACACAGGAAGGGAACAGCAATCTGGAGTAGAATTAAGAGCTGGAGGATGGGGAGAAACAGTACTAATTCAGAAGAATCAAGGATCAAAGAAAAAGGAAAATGGAAAGATAAATATAGGTAAAAGTAGATTTTAAAAAGGTGTAAAAATAGCAATAAGAGAAGTATTAAACAGCAAGGAAAAAGGAAAGGAATCATGCAGAGACTTTTATAAAAACAGTATGCTTTCTCTTTAGTGGCAAACTATGTGAATATGGAACCATTTTGGCATATGGAAACATTTCTTTTGACCTACTTAAAGTATATTGATTATGGTAACTGATTTTCTTTATGTTAGTTTTAGGCCACTGTGATTTCCAATTGGCTACTGTAACTGTTTTTAGGTTGCCTTGATGACTATTTGGTGGGGCACAAAAAGTGAACAGACTGATTACTGGACACCAGCCCAGTGGTTCAGAATAGGAAGTATGGAATGCTGTGTTGAACTAAAATTTTATGGGAGCTTAAAAGATGCTTAGTGAACTTTCGTACACTGGAACATGTCCAGGATTTGGAGCTGAATATTCCACAAACCTTAGGGAGGAAAAAAAAAAAAAAAAGGGCGAGAGAGGAGGGGAGAATAATCAAAAGCTGGCAAGACTTCAAGTCTGCCTCATCTGAAACAGTCATATGTTTTTAGTGAGGATGATTAACTGTGGGAAAGAATCACCAGGGGAAGTACTGGATTCTTCACGTCCTGATGTCTTCAGATGCAGATTGTATTTTCCTCAATACAGGAGATCAAATGGTCTTTTGATCCTCACAGTCCTAATCTAAGAATGATAACTCTTACAGCAGTAGGAACACTGGCCCACGTGATATTTATGTAATACTGACCCCCAAGGAAGAACCACTCTCTCCTTTCCTTCCCTTGATAAATCCCCTGTGCTAACTTCTTAAAAACAGTTATATCTTCCTGAGACTTGACAAGGGAAGATGGACTTTCTGCCTTACAGATCTTTCTTGCTTTGTTCATGCACCATAACACGTGCTCTTTGATCTCTAAAAGAACAGCAGGAGATACTACAGTAACCCTTCTTTGTGTTGAGTTTCATTATTTGCTCTTACTGGTATCTTTATCAGTATATTTTTCATACATGTTTTCATAAAGGGCTATTTTCAGTCTTGGAGAGGTGCTTCACTTCAGTGGGAAAAAAAGCATATTCATACTCTGCTACAGTCAGCTTGGGATCTTGTTCACACAATGCCTATGTCTAGGTGAGACTGAGTATTTACCTCAGTCTGGCCTTCAGTCATGGCAAAAGCTATTACAGTCTAGAGTGACCTTTCAGCAGAACTGGAGAGCTTTGCTGAATTTCCTGTATCTGTTTTTTATTAAAAGGTCAACACGTGTTCCTGTTGGAGAAGATCAAGTCCTGCACCTGGAACTAGCCCAAGATATAGCACAACATTTCAACAAGAAATATGGAGAATTCTTTCCTATACCCAAAGCCATTTTAAGTGAGATGGTTGTAGTTATTTTTTTAACTGCTGTTTGTGGTTGAAGATAGATAAAAATGTGTGGGAGCAGTCTCAAGGACCAGAGAAAGGAAATAAACTGATGACAAAAGAGTAGAAAAGTGAAAACTGACAACAAGAGACTAGAGGCTTTAACAGTGATTTCCCAAGATGGACCCAAGGCCTTGGTAATCCACAGTAAAGGAATGCTTATGGCATCTGATATTCCAGTCTCAGGGGGCAGATGCACTCCGTTACTGCCAGTCAACCTTGCTTCAAGGGCCTTTGAAGACCAGAGTCTCTACTCCATGCTGCTAGTTCAGGAGACATGTAAGAAACAAGATAAACAACATCTAGCAGGCAGAATTTTGTGGTGTCTGAGTTTACATTGATGTTTACATTAAGCATGCTGTACAGTTTTTAGGTTTATTAATATAGTGCTTAAAAATTCTTTGATCCTTTAAGTACACGTAAGTATTGCATATTTCAGAAAAGGTTTCTTACAGAACCTAGACTTTCTATTTTTGATCTTAGTGTCCAGGAGACTTACAAGGAGAACTTCTTCAACTGTTTTTGAGCAACAGGGTCATAGGCTGGGAAGTGAGGAGGAGTTAGATTATGTAAATGGCATGTTTGTTAAGAAACATGAAGAACTGGGCAAGGAAGAAGTATTGCATTTATTGTAAGTAATTTAGAGGAATGCACGGCAAGACCTTTGCCTCCAAAAGGGCAAAGAGCTCTCACCTTAGAAAAGATGGGCTGTAATAAATGTCTCTTGCAAGCTTCTGTGACAAAAATTGTATTAGCCTCAGAGTGTGGCTTAGAGTGAACTGGCTGTTGCTAACTCTGCAATATCTAATGCACAATTGAATGCCAAGCACTGTAAAGAGGAGTGGAATGTACCCTAAGCACAGTGAGATTTTATATCAAAAAATAAAAAGCTTAATATGAAAAAGGATCTTTTCACCTGCCTGATGATAAGCATGCCTTCCACAGGTATTTACAAATCAATGGCAGGTATTAGGTGACTGGTGGTTTTAGGGAGTTATTCAGACTTGTCAGTTGTAGGGAGCTAAATCATCTGGGCATCTTCAAAATCAAGACACTCCTCCAAAAGACAGTTTAGAACAGAGCCCCCTTGTCCCTTCACTGAATGTATAAGGAGCTGATGGGGACTTTGTGGGTAATTTAGTTGGCTGTATTAGATGTGTGAAAATGATAGGTGTGAATCACTGCCACTAAATCAGTGGTAGTTTATATGCTTGGTGGATGCTGTTTCTTGGAAAAAGACTGTAATGGTTTGGGTTGATGACATTAAAATATTTTGCAATTTTCCTCTAATGCTATTCTGTTTCAGATACAGGCATGTAACTTAGTAGTTTTTGTGATACCTTCATTTCTTTTATCATCTGAACAACGCTTCCCCCCTAATGGAGCCTGTTAGTTTTTGCTTAGGGAACTCTTAGGAACTGTCTGTATTGATATTTAGGAGAATTATCAAGAGTTTGGAGTGAGAGAGTTTCCTAAAGTAAGGAGATTAATTACTGTTCTTTAGGAGCAGTGATTTAACCTGCTTTCCAGTGTTACATAACCTTTTGCTAATTTCCAGTCCTTGCTTTCTAGGCGCTTGGGCTCTCATGGCCCCCTTGCCAGGAATATAAGGGAATAGATGGGTTGTAGTGGAAATGAGCAAGCAGTCACAAAAAATATTAGAAATGTCCAAGCAAAAGTGTCTGTTCAGGGAAAAGACAAGGGAGAAAAGTAAGTTTTCAATCAGTTTATGGGAGAAGAAAAATGACTTAGTAGGAGATGAGGACTAAACAGGAGTTTATTGCACTCAGAAATTGCACTCAGAATTCTTTTAAGCAAGGACAGTGAGAGAACTGATTGTTTTTTATGTGTTGCTATGAATTGCCAATCATATAAGAGATTGTTCGATAAGAGATTGTTTTCTATCTGTGCATAACTACACTTTTTTTTAAAGGTACAACAAAGAAGATAAAGTCCCTCAGAGATCCAGCAGTGAAGATGTCTAAGTCAGACTCACAGAAACTAGCTACAGTTAATGTAGCAGACAGTCCTGAGGAGATAGTGCTGAAATTTCGCAAGGCTGTGACTGACTTTACCTCTGAAGTGACCTACAATCCAGAGAGTCGCCCTGGTGTCTCCAATCTGGTGTCCATTCATGCCGCGGTAACAGGACTTAGTATAAAAGAAGTGCTGCAGCAATCTGCTGGTCTTGACACTGCTCGCTACAAAATTGTAGTAGCAGAGTCGGTTATTCAAAAATTTGCACCTATCAGAAGTGAAATCAAGAAACTTCAGGAAGACAAATACCATTTGATAAAGGTTTTAGAGGATGGAGCAGAGAAAGCCAAAGAACTAGCTGCCCCAATCTACCAAGAAATAAGGAGACTGGTGGGATTTCAGTAGAAACTGCTAAATAGCCCAAAGAACTTCTTTTTTTTTTTTTTTTTTTTCCTGGACAGCCTTTTTTGTTTGTTTGTATCTTCTTAATCATTTCAGTTTAGAAAAAAAAAATATCCTGGAAAATCAAAGTAGGCTGTCAAAGTTTGCACTTCAAAAAATGTGCATAAAGCCAGTTCTTCCCGGTGAGACCAGTGTCAAGCTAGTCTGTTTGGTTAAAGGAAGAAGGTGCAGGCAATCACAATTCACAAAGAAATTCCACAAAAGCAAGATAGCAAGGTTGCCCAACAGAATCTTGCCTTTCTTTATTGTTTGTTTGTTTGTTCATTTATTGACTATTGCAAAAAAAGCTGAGTTATAGGCAAGGTAATTAGAACCTAGTAGAAAGAGTTGTCATGTTCTCAAGAACCTTTCTTACTGTTCATGTAACGTTGATCTTGTTGCAGGCAAGCAGCTTATCCCATCAATGGTTATTCTGCTTTGATAAGGTGGTTCTCAGATAAAAAGAAGAAAAGCATAAACTTTACAAATCTAAATGCTCAGGACATTAATAATGAAGGAAGAACTTACTACCTCTTCCTGACACCTCTGTAAATTCAGTCCAATTTCATATCTGCATCTAATTTGTGTGAAGCGAGTTAGTCTGTCTTATATAATATATGTACACTCAGATTGTAAAAGTCTTTGTAACTACTGTGCTAGATGGCCTCTCTGTCAGTCAGTCAGTCCAAAGAATGCAGCATTTGAATGTGAATTTTCCTTCTGACACCTGCTGGTCAGATCTGAGGTACTTTGGCCAGAAACTATGTGTAGTTCAACTGCTCCTTTTCCACTGTGATTTGGTTATGCAAGGAGCTCCAGGGTCATCAACTCCCTATCAGGTCTAGGGTTCCTTTAAAAAAAGAGCATTGGGAAAAGATGTTATCTTGACTGCCGGAGATTTTAGTCTGAGAAATCACAGAACTTTCTGTAAAATTTACAAACTTATTTAAAAGAGTGTGCTGAAAACAGAACTAATACCATGATCAAAATATTTTATCAAAATGGGATTAAATGTATCAAGGAAGATCCATAATGAGCTAATCTCTGCTGATTTTAGGCCTCACAAGACCCAGAGATTGGGATTTATAGACTATGTCATTTGTTGGGGAGTATCCAACAAAGGGGAACTGTCAGAAGGAGAAACGCTCTCCTGAAGAGCAGGTGCATAAAGTGGACTAAAGCCTTACTTGTCCTGTGCTAGCAAAAATGTCCTGTGCAATGGCACTGGTGCTCTGCATTTGAAACTACTATAATGAAATGTTAAGTGAGTTCATTTAATAATGTGGAGGCTTACAACCATGGCAGCTACTTGACAGAGGGAAATGAGTGCCTATTAAATAAGCCTATGGCATCTGTCATAGATTATGGCAACCTTACATGACTGAGTCAAGTAAAACTGTTTTTTCTCCATGTAATGCACATATTTTAAAAGCTATGTAGTTTTTTATTAGTTAATTGTCACAGATAAATAATACGTTTTTTTATCCTTTTTTTTCTTTTTTCCTTTATTTTTTTGGAAAAGACGTAGTTCTAGGCTGGATGTTTAGGATTCTACCCTGACATCTGTGTTTGTTAGGAATCTGAAGAAAGAGAACCATAAGGCAAAAACCATATGATATGACAAAGTTATTCAAGATGAGAGGAGCAGAATGGTTGGAGAGAATGCTGAGAAATCAAACTCAGTATAGACAAGTCTAAGGTAATATCCCCTGGAAAGAATAAGTGTATTTGTGAATATTCCCAAATCTCAGAATAGCAGACCAGGAAAGGGCAGAAGTATTGTTGTACATAAACCTTTGTTTTTTGTGAAAATCTGGTTGTAAACCTTCCTTTTGTCAATTTTTAAGAACAGATAGAAAAAAATCATTAGTTTGCACAGGAATGAGGAGAAAAAAATATTAAGACACATAAAATACAATCATCAATCTTGACAGATAATGTCAAGATAAAGGCATACTGCATTCCCTTAACTGCTTTCTGTTTGTATCATACCTTTAATCTGGTGCCCAGAGAAGCTAGGGAATTTATTTCCACAAATCTAAATCTTAAATCTGATTTGAGGAAAAAAAGATGAAAAGAAGAACATGATAGAAATAAGTTAAAATAAATGGCATGGAGAGAGTTTTGTTATTTTTTGTAGTATGCACATAGAATATGTGCAATGATGTTTAAAAGTCAAATAAATGTTTATGAAGATATGTTGTCTATACATGGTACATACTTAATTAGCCCACCTGCCACAAATTCAGGTGTGTTTGATAAGTAAGACTTAGCAGAATAAAGAGCAGGGTGCTTCAGCTGAAGTTACCTCTATATGTTTTTAGTATTTGTCTTCTACACAAAAGCTGTGGAACTGTTTCTCTTTCTTTAAATTAGAAGTCATAGATAAAATTAGGGAAAGCAAGGCATAGTATCACAGAATTATTATGGTTGGAAAAGACCTTCAAGATCATTGAGTCCAACCGTAAACCCTTCAACACCATGGCTGCTAAACCATATCCCTAAGTGCATCTACATGTTTCTTAAACACTGCCACAGATGGTGACTCCACCATTTCCCTGGGCAGCCTGCTCCAATGCCTCGCCACTCTTTCCGTGTAGAAATTTTTCCTAATATCCAACCTGTACCACCTCAGTGCAACTTGAGGCCATTTCCTCTTGTCCTATTGGTAGTAACTTTGGAGAAGAGATCGACCTCCACCTCACTGCAACCTCCTTTCAGGTAGTTGTAGAGAGCTATAAGGTCTCCCCTGGGCATCCTCTTCTCCAGACTAAATAACCCCAGCTCCTTCAGACACTCCTCGTAAGGTCTGTGCTCCAGCCCCTTCACCGGCTTCGTTGCCCTTCTTTGGACACGCTCCATGCACCTCCATGTCTTTGTTGTAGTGAGAGGCCCAAAACTTAACACAGTATTTGAGGTATGGCCTCACCAGCACCAACTACGGGGGAGAAAAAAATCCTGTTCAGTTGCAGCCCTCCTCAGCACAGCTTTGTTCAGTTACTACTGTTCACCAAGCAGTTGGCCTGAGTGTTTGTTATGGCACTTTGTAGCATGGATTGGTGTAAGATCACACAAGAGGTTCTTTAGAAGAAGATAGCACAGTGCTCATGGAGATGCTGAAAATCTTCAACGTTAATTTATCTTGTTTCTGTCTCCTCCCACTTTTCACTTGAAAAGACAGGAACATGTATTGAAAAGGCATATTGTTTCCAGGTCTTCTTGCATTTCTGATACTCAGGGCATGTGACATCTGAAGTTGGCATTGAACACACCTGCTTCGAGAGGTATTTGTATGTCTTCAATACAGTAAAAGGTGGGAAGTCAGAGGGAGAAGGCATCAGCAAGTAATTCTTCAACATTACCCAAAGTGTTTTGAACAGGATGCTCTTCCCCAAGATGGTTAGACTTTTCTGAAAATCATATAGGTGGAGCAGGAAGAAAATCGCCTGAAGATCCTATTCTGTGGGTAGGAGTTGCATATTGCATATTTAGCAACATTTCAATAAAGTTTTCTAATTTTCCTGGAAAAGACAGGCATATTTCCTTACTCCAAGGAAATATGTCAAGCAAGTAACATGTGTTTGATTGACAGGGGAAAACAACAACAACAACAAAAATAACTTCTGTAAAATAAACCCTTTAGTCTGTTTTTTGTTAACTTGAAACAGGTCCCCCGAGACATCTGTAATTTAGATGTTTGCAGGTATGTGCTACCTATATAAGTTTTCATAGAGCATGACTTTCCCGGGAAGTTAATCATTTTGGTATTCAGGTCCTGAGTATAGCTGTACCTAGCCAGGCCACCTCTTTGTGTTCCCTGAGCTGTAGCTAGCACCTGGAAATAGATTAGTAGAAGGAAGTTAAGCTTCAGGCAACATATGCTTACTACTGTCAGTAAAAATTATTTGATACCAAGCAACTGATCTCTTCCCTCCTCTTCTGCCTCCCTGTTTTTTTTTTTTTCCCGAATACCTTTGTAAGCACCTGTTTCAGACTGTCCTGTGGCCCTGTCTACTTTAGTAATAGACATCTGTGCAAAGTAGCACAGATGAATTGGAGCAGGTCTTCTCAGCAAAACAATTGTGTAGAAGACATGATATCTACATGTTAAATGTTGCAGAGGGGTTCATCTCACATTAACACTATTCCATTAGTCTGTTCCCATGGATTGACTATCTATTTAAAATTGGAATGCAGTCTGTGCACTCCTGAAATGCATTTTCTAATTTGGTTTCATCCTAAACACGTGCCCTGAGTCTGCTCTGTGATGCCTGCTGAAGTACAGTAAATAGGGGCCGTGGTGAGAGCATTTGCTAAAGCACAATCCTAATCTCAGCTGTACCACTTCTGTAGACACAACCTGTTGTACAGTGGAAAATGTTCACCAAGATCTGCAGAGTTTCAATCTTATGTTTTGTAGTTGAAGGTGGAAGAGTTGAAGCATAGAGATGTCCTTATCCTTTGCTGTCTGTGCTGCTTTTTGTTTCAATTAGCCTTTCTTCAGTGATCTTGGTCTTCAAGTGTGTGCAATAACTTAGCATCTTAGCGTCTAAGTCTTAGCATCTAAATCTTTCACTTCCTTGTGTATTTGCTACACAAAAAGTACATATGATACTAACTGGGGTCTGCAGTATCAAAACAGAGATGTACCCAACATCCCTCGATAAATTAGGAGATTTACTTACCTTTAGAGGAACAGAGGGAGCTGAATAGCAACTGCGCAGTGGTTGACTCTTTATTAAGATCTAACTGTGATTTTCATACACTTGAGATATTTATCTCTTCAGCCAGTGTTTCCAGGGAAGCCTTATTGCATATCAGAAGATACTGATTGTGAGTCTTGAGGGTTGATGGAGAAAAACAGTTTTGATTGCTATTTAGAGCACAGATTTTATTGGGAAATTCAGATTCAGTAAAAAAAATGTCTTCTTCAGCAGAGACTCTGGGTGATGATTGACCTCAAATTAACTCTGACACTGCTCCAGCCTCCCT